AACCCCCTAGACAGCTTTGACAATCTAGCCTGTATATTTATTCTGGCAGGACTTGCTCCCAGCTTACTGCTTTGCAGTAACTAGTAAATATATTAGTGCGTAATAACGCATGATCCAAATGAAAGGGAAGGCTACAAAATTCTGCTTTTCAATCAGAATGGAGGGGCGCGTGTGTTTGATTGCACACTTACGTTCCACATGCCCAGACAGCGATCTGCCTGCTTACTTGGCTAGATGGGAGACTACCTACCCACACAGAACCCTGTATGCCCATTTGCACACGGAAATTCAAAGCAAGAAATCAGCTGACAATCTGTCCACTGACTAGCATCTGAGGTTGAAATAAGGCAGTGTCAGGTTACTTTTAATAAAGAAACATTTATACTCAACGCTCTCTTAAAAGCTTGAAATGAGACATGCTTCCCTGGCGCATCCAGACAAACACACAAAATCCTCTCCAGTCAAAATCTTTTCACTGCTTTGCGACTGAACTGTCATCTGGGATGATGTGTCCAGGTCATCTGTGGATGGCATTATTTAATTTGAAATACAATCCTGAAAATGCAATGACCTCCACTCTGGGTTGACAACAGGATATTCAGCACCAAGAGTGTAGGCCTCTATCATTTGAACTAAAGGAGTAACTCCACTAGCTGGCAGCAACAGTAGGCTTGTCCTTTGTGTAGACCATCTACTGGAGAAAAACATAACACTTTTAGATCAGCAGGTTACACTCAATAGTGTTTTGATATGTAATCTTCCCCCTGGCGAGTGGTCCAATCTACTCCACCTGCTAGGACTATTCACAACAAGCAGCACTGGACCCTGATATTAAGTATTTGTGTCCTAGGGCCTGATCCTGTGAACGCTTGGGCACATAACTTAACAGTAGCCCCACTGACGTCAAGCTTCCACTGGAAACTTGTCTGCCTCTTTTTCATACAACGCTTTACACATTTTCCAAGAGAGACAAGGAAGGACCCAGCCATTGGAAAATACAGAAGCAGCAAATTAAATCTGATAGTTATCTTATCCCCCGCCACTTAAAAAAGTAAAGTAACATCTGCATATGTGTACACACACACACACACACACACACACACACACACTTTTCCTGTTTATTTGAATAGCACGGGGGACATAGATTTTATTCGGATAGACAGGCGTTTGGATAATCAAGAGGGCGTCGAACATGCTCTGCCTTTCCATCAGAAACAGCTGGACTTCGCTGCGGTCATTATACATGTGCAGTACCAGCAAGGCAACAGACTCCCTAGCACCCAGGCTCCTCCTGCAGCTGCTCAGCTGGGTGCACGCCCCAGCCCTGGCTCTTGCAGGCTGCCCGGGGAGCACAGAGGCCCTGCTGAAAAGGGAGCTGGGCATCCCAGTGCTGCAGTCCCCAGGGCACTCAGGGGGCCGCTGCAGCAGCCAAAGCCCGAAATATGATGCCGAACAGGCCAAGAGGTAAGGTGTGGGCAGGGGATGTGCATGCAGGCAACTGGGCACAGGTGTCAGAGAACTGCATGCTGACAGCTGGGCAGGGTGGCAAACTGGGGGGTTGCACACAGGCATTTGTTTTGTGGGCCGGTCTGTCAGGGAACAAGGAAGAGATTTGGATAATGAGGAGGTTGGGATAATAGGGTTTTGATAAAACGGGAGCACAGTGTGTGTGTGTGTGTGTGTGTGTGTGTGTGTGTGTGTGTGTGTGTGTATGTATGTATGTATGTATAAAAAAACCCTCAACTGTTAGTGTCCTTATTGTTAACACCAGGAATGAAAGAATTTGGTCTTTTTTCTCCCGTGTACATATTATTTTCTTTTTAAAAGATTTTCAGGTTAGTAATGCTATAAATGCTCCACTATTGCAACGTTCCTTTCAGAAGCTGGAAATTAATCAGAATTTTTACCTGGTAACAGCAGCAACTGCAAGATTGTATATGTATATTTCCTCCATCTCAGTATTAGCCATATGCTATAGACTCAACAAGTTTTAAACCCCTGAAGCAAAATTTCTTAAAACAATGGTTGCAAGTTGCCCTAGCCTTCACAAGAAGAGTAGGATTACACATTATGGTGTAATCCATTAGAGGCAAATGCCTAGAGATCTGCTACGGTCATTCTACAAAAGAGGGGAAGAATTTTCAGCTGTTACAGCCTGCCACTTCTTGCTCAGTCACCAATCTGCATCATCACTGAGGTGTCAAATCCTGAAGACACAGGTAAGGGAGCCAAAGGAAAGTGTGTTATCACAACCCTGTTTGAAAGACAGCAATTAACCATCTCTAAACATTCATTTGATTGGAGCATCACGAGGGGAGGGAAAAAAACCTTTTAAAAAATAATTTGTAGACAAACAAATAATTTAAGTGCAGAAAGAAGCTAAGTACGTGAACTGGCAAAGGGTTGCACATAATCCTAATGTTACCATTGTCCATCTCTGTGCTGACAGAACGTAAACAGTAAATTCACTCTTTAAACAGTCCAACATGCCACCTCCGAAGGTTGGCTCAGCAGGTCAAAAGGCCTACTGAGAGAGGAGTGAGGAAAGCATTGCTACATGCTACTTGTGACTGAGAACGGGGAACATTTCAAGTACCTAGCTTCCACCAATAGATTTCAACAATAATCACTTTAGAGTGCAAAAAGCTTCTGTTTCAAAAACGAATGAATATGATACTAAACATAACAGGAAGATGAACTACTGAGAAAAAACTCACAAAAAGATAGACATTTCATTAATGGCATTAATCTCTATGGACTCAAGCATCAACTAGTTAATTAGATTGAAGTACAGTTGCATTTTAACACTGAACGTTTACTGCTCAACTGGGATAGGCGAATTGCTGAATTCTAAAGCCTTAATTCAACAGCTAATTTTAAAAAACAGGTCAAAACAGGTTTTTATTTGTAAGACATATAAAAATATTATGACAGCACTAATATTAAATCTGTTCTTTATTACAACTAATTTACTATGTTTCCTTCTAATTTTAAGCCCTTTTTTAAGAAAAACTAAAAAACAACCTGCTAAACAAAAATTTGAATCCATTATTAAAGAGGTCTGAATAAAAATCAGGATTAGACGTAGGCAAAATATGCTTATCTTTCCATACATGGTGGCTTCCTGCTAAGAGTGGAAGCCTACATATGTTCCATCATTTGCCCAATAACTTAGAGATGTTTACTATCAAGAAAAAAAGGCTTTTTTTAAAAAAAAATCTACTTAGCAAAGATGACCTGATTTTGCATTCAGATCTTTAATGTGGAAGAATATTTTTGGCAACAATAAAAAATTAACTCACTCAGATCCATAATGCTCATTTGTCATTGTTTTGAGAGGAAGTCTTATGGGAAAGTTTATCATCATTACAAGCTTTTGCAAACAATACGGAAAGTACAGACAGCAATTAGAAATTGAAAGATGCTTAAAAAAAAAGGTTCAGGGGAAATATTACGAGGCAAGACTACCTTCAGAACTTAATTTCAAGACTAGTTAGGACTTCTGTAGCTTTAAGGAATGCACTGTGTGAAACACAACACTACTCCAACAACATAATCCCAAAGCTATCAAACCCTACATAACACAAAACTCTTTGCTTAGTACAGAAATAAGCCAGCCCCCTCTTTTGTCACTAATTAGCATTAGCTACATCTTAAGAAACTAAGAGCCCTCAAGGAAAGGTTTAAGTACATTTGTTTAGTTTTAATTTCTGCATGTAGATTTTTTTTAAATTGCTATTACTCCTCTTGCTATATGCCCAGAGTTGTTAAGTTACAGAGTTTTTTCTGGATGTGTGCTTTATACAGTATATAATGTTATAGCTTCATGCACTATTAAATTGCTCGCTCTCATGAGGAATTATGTACAATAAAAATATTAAGTTAAACTTGTTTAGGCAGTCTCTCCCCATCTAATTTCAACCACTATTCCCTTTTTGCCTGTATCTACAGCTTCCTATTCTCCTCCCTCCCCACCCCCACTTCTTAATGACGGGGCAGTCCCGTAACAGAATACAGAAGCAATCCAGGTTGATTTTAATATATATCAATGTTGTATACCCTTTGAATTAAGTTTTTGCAGTGGAGACAAAGCAAAAGAAAGGAAAGCTAACTGTAGAAATATAGTGCATTCTCTTTCAGACTCAGACTTCTAAAGTCAAGTTCACTGATTGCATATTGGAACTTGAAAAACTGATCTACCGCTTTTGCTAAACACAGTTCTAAATAGTAAGAACTGTTTCAATTCCACAAACAGGTTCTCCAGCACCAATAGTACCAATATATATTGATTTCAGAGACAGCATGCAGATGAAAGCTTCTCTGCACATGGCTAAAGTGTCTGTCCCAACATGGAAACTGACCACATTATAACAAATTATGCCCTATAAGGAGCACGTCACTTATCCAATAAGACTAGTAGGATAAAAGACTTAAAGCTCTTTGTTCATCTTCTTGCAAAGGCAGACCCAATGCTCATAAAAGTTCAGAGCTTCATACCAATCAAGAACTCGCTACCCATCGCTAATTAGTGCCCAAACCCGTCTCAAAAGTTATACAAAAGAAAACTCGCAAAGCATGAGGGCAGAGATTTATTCCCACCCATCAAAGACAAGGAGTTCAAAGTTCAGCCTGAAATGAGCAAGAAACCCTGCACTTAAACCAAACACTCTTCATAAATACTGTAGCAAGATACGGTACAAAATACTGTAACAATTGTAAGTAACACAGCAATACTCTCCCATTACGATGAGAAAAAGCTAAGACTCCTTCAGACTGGCACAAATGACTGGGACTCCGTAAGGAGATAGTTAAACTGGAGACATGTAATATCACACAAAGCAGCTCTCCTGTAGTTTCACAGCCATATGCTGATACCCTTAAGACGCCATGCGCTCCAGCTTTAAAAGCTTTCATTGCCAATTCCCTGTTTGAAACCTGAACTGCCTGGCAACAATGACTCTCTGTGTGCCTAAAATCCTATTATTGATCCTCCTACTTACCTTAGGCTGTGCTCGTCGGGGAAATGCAACTTTAGGGTCAATCTGAGGGAAAAGAAAGGGGAAAATCAACATGTTAATTTTTTTAAACCATTGAATTATTAATCCCTCATTTCTCAGGCTTAAAATTCAGCACACTGGATCTTCTAAAGCAACTCAGGATCTAACGGACTATGGTCAGATTTAGAGTGGGACTGAATTGATCTCATCCATAAATGAGCTATAGTGCATTCTATACTATAACTTAGGTGGTACACAAGATGCTCTGTACTACTTTTGGGGACGGTGCCTCTCCAACAAGAACCGGATGTTAAATATTACCGGCATAGTCTATAGATTTGTATAGAGATGGACTCCATTTTGGATCACAATCTTAATCTGCAAGTTTGTTCAAAAAGAAAACAAAACTCCCCCCCCCCCCCCCCCCCAAAATAAAAAGATACAAAACACTGATCCAAACGATTTACTTGTAAATTATTAGAACTACTGTGTTAAAACAACTGCAAAGATTACTTTTTAGAATTGAATTCCTAACCGATTTGCTTTACAGTGGCCATCAAAGGACACAGGTGGGCAATAAAAAAAAAGAAAAAAAAAAATCTGTGAAGGATCAACAACAAAACAAAAACAAAAAAACCCCACCCACCACGAGTGCTAACCCTAGAAGAAACCACATTCTTAAAAGATTGATGCAGGCTTTCTATGAAGGAGCTAACTAAAGTAATCTTAAAGGGAAAGCTGACCGCCACAGAAATAAGAAAAACCCCTCGTTTCATCCCTGGATACCTTATTTTTAGATGCAGGGTTTACTGTCTGTTATACTTCATAAGTTAAAAAAAAAAGCATGTTCCCAGTTGTCTGGCAATTTTAAAGCAACTTAAAAATGAGACAGCTTTAAATGACAACTGTTTCCTGCCATTCAAGGTGTTAAACAAAAAAATACACACCACCAGATTCATAGCGTGTTGTAAACAAAATAATGCTTCAAACGGCTATCTTTAAAGAAAAGAAAAAAAAACTAATGAAAGGTCTATATGCTGTTGAATTTCCTCCTCTTCTTTCAGCAGCATTTGCTCATAAGCACGTCCTTAATAAAAAGTTTTGAAAAATGGATCATTTAAAGGGAAAAACCGTGTGTATAACTGCAGTAACATTTAACAGCTTCCAGTGTTACTTTTTTTTTTTTTTTTAAATCTCAAACTTAGATCCTGGCTTTGTTAAAGGATATTTTGAAATAGAAACTATTTTAAGGGAATATTAATTTAAGATTATTTTGTGGACAAGGAGTTGAGGTTTTTTAAACTCATGCTATGAGGAGATGTTGCTTATGGTGATGTCACTGACAGGTAATCCACCTGGTCACTATGTATCAGTAGTTTTATTCAACTAAAATGTCAAAATTGTAAATGTTACAATCATTTAATACTCAATTGATAAATTAATTTGTCTATATTATATAGAAGTGTTCTTTTTCTTTTTTAACATATACCTGAGAAATGAGTGATTACATGCCACTTTATTGTTCAAAAAAATATAAAAAAGTCAAATCCTTTATCTAGAAAGCTAACCTTTTTCACAAAGATTATTATCTACAAATATATTCAGCACTGACTAGGTACTTGTCTACCAGGGAAATACAACAGGTGTGGATTTTCCATTGAGATACCTGAAGGCAGAAACAACTATGCACATTTCTATATCAGCCTCCAAAGTTATATTGTTTGCTTTTAAAAACAAGTTACCAAAAAAGAGAAAGATAATTACATAGATTCCAATCACACCACAATGGCATTATTGTAAAGTTTGGCATTGGCAAAAAGTTGTATCAGCCATCAAATTCTGAAGCATATTACTCAGTTTGTGGAGGCCAGTTCTCAAAGCAAAGGGGTCTTTACACCACAATGAAAATATTAGGTTCAAATAACTTAATTTTTCTCATTGGAAAACTTTTGATTACATGTCATTAGCATGTTTAAGGGAACACACAATCAGCATGGCAAATCCGTACCTTTTGCACATCCCTGTCAACTATTGAAACAACCAGCAAAACAAAGCAAAACTTCTACCAAAAAAAAAAAATTAGTTAGTTAGATACAATTCTACTTACTGTATCTACAAGTCCTCTAGGAAATGACTATAATACTATTTCTGATATGAATGGCCATTACCTAAACAAAGCTTTTAACGTAACTGTATACAAGAGCGCCGTTTCCATGCCAATACCCAACCGATCTGATCTGCCTCCTGTGCTGAACGTTGAAACAGAGTCAAATGCTATGTTAAACTAAAGAACAGTTACTATCATATGTCTACAAATAAATGGCTGAGTGAGAACTTGGTTGGTTTTACTTTTTGATATATGCTGTTGTTTTCATGGGTGGGTTCTGTTTGTTTAAGTAGAATCAATCACTGCAGCACAATCAAATCTGATGTAAGTTTATTTTTGTCTATCTCTTTGCCCTTCCCCTGCCCATGAGCAAATTAAATACATTCCAGTGATTAAACTGTGATCTAGGGTTAAGTGAAGGAGATAAAAAATCATCAATAATAATTTTGGGGGAGCTTCTAGGTTGTTGGGGGTTTTTAAA